TTCCTGAGAGAAGGTCAGTGAAGTTCAGAAAATGTGTGCCAATCACTGGAATTATAGAGCCATAAACTGATGTGTCTGAAATTAGTAGGTGGGTCCATGTGTGTATATGTAAAAAATATATTTTTTTTTTTGTAATTTTTTATTGTAAAGAAAAATCTGCTTGCCTATGTTGTAAGAGAATATGTTCAGAGTGTTTAAACTCGAAAATAACTACAAATTGCCAGTTGCCAGCTTGCATGTGACTGAAAATATTTTGGGGGTTGGTTTTAATTACAGGGTATGCATTTTTTGTGACCGCGCTATACTATTTATTACCGTAAATGTAATTTTCAAATATATATATTAAATATTAAAATATTGAGCTGATATCTTGAAAGTCATTGATGTATATGTACTTGCATAGATTTAAAATTAAGTTATGTAGAAATATAATAAATAATGTACAAAAATACAAAAATATTTTGTTTTTATTTCCCCAATAATAATAGGATCATTTTAATAGAGGTATTTCATAGAAGGCTACTTGATATCGGCTCACTATAATAATAACTGATAAGTGGGTGTATTATTTTTGAACATTGATTTAATGTCAATTTTAATTTCATAAATTAGATTCCCACTTATCAGTTATTATTATAGTGAGCTAAATAAGCGTGCCTACGTATATAGATACCAAAAAAAAAAAAAAATTAGTTCAGCGATTATACGCATGGAGCGCCACAATCGCCGTGGATCCACGACTTCGTGCGAGTTGCCCCTCTTTCTATAGTATACTTATTATACTCTTTGAATCCGTCTTTGCTGCGTGTGACTTGAAATTTTTGTCCCTTTCTCGCATAACAACAAAATGTCGAGAATCAAAAAGGCACAAATACCACAGTTTATAGCCGGTCTATTTAGTGGTCAGTATTTTTCTACAGTGGAAATTATTAACGTTCCAACAGCATCTTTGATGATTTGAAATTGTTTTTATACTTTTATACCCTTTGAAAAAATATAAATTCGTTGTGTTATGTCGTAGGAAAATAAAACAAATAACTTTGTACTTAAATAGTAGATTTTTTCTATATTTAAAACAATTTATTTACTTTAATTCCATCAAATAGAATTGAAACATTGACAGCGCCTTATTTAAAAAAAATAGCAACAATAATATTGTAAGACATTGCTATTTTTACGGCAGGCGCTTTTACTGAATAACATTGTGAACCAACTTAGGTCCAAAATTCTCCATTTTTTCAAAGACTTACATTAGTTTTCTCAGAAATCATTCTACATTACAAATTCGTGTTTTTAAGGTAATAAAATAATACAACGATTTTTTTTAACAAAACATTTAATATTCTTTGACCTTTTAACCTTCATCTTTAATCTTTGACATGTCATGTCTCTTTGAATGTTGATTTAATTTACTTCTCGTTATAAAACATTTAGAACAAACTAAACATTTATGTGGTTTGTCACCCGAATGCATCTTGAAATGCATCACTAAATTATTCTTTTGGGTAAAACTTTTCGAACATATTTTACATTGATGCGGCTTGATACCTTTATGTATTTTTTCATGTCGATCTAAATCCGCTTTCCTATAAAATGCTGCACTACATTGATTACAAGTAAAGTTTTTAATACCTTTATGTGACAAAACATGTATTCTGAGATGTCCCAATTGCGTATAAGTCTTCCCACATGCTGTACACATATACGGTCTTTCCCCAGTATGCGTCCGTCTGTGTTTTTTTAACTCATAGCCAGTTTGAAAACTTTTATTACACTGGTCACATGGTAATGGATCTTTTTTGATGGGCTTTCTTCGTTTTTTGCTGTAAAGTTGAGGTTAAATTAAAAAAAAACATTATTTTTTTGTTTGCATGTCCTTCCCTACTTGATTTAGCTGAGAACAGGACATATAATTTTCATCAGCTCACTATACGTCCTCACCGAGGAGCTCGGAGCCTACCCTAAGTTATGTGACTAGGTCATAGTCAACCATGCTGGCCAAGTGCAGTTTGACTTCGCACATATCTTTCACATTCTCAGATATTGGCAGCATCACGATGTTTTCCTTCACCGTAAGAACATAGGATAAATGTACATATGTAAATCGGAAATGGAAAAACACATTGGTACATAGCGGTATTCAAACCCAAAACCTGCAAGTTTGCAAGTCAAGTGCTTGACTCCTGAGCCACTGATGCTCTGAACGGGACATATAATCTGTAGTAAATAAGACTTCCATCTGAATTCACCCCTTAAGCATAATTTTCACACAATAAACCCACTGATTGACTCCTAAGGATCAATCAACACTTAGTTTGAATACTAAGTAAGGAATTACATCATACCTACTTTTTAGATAAATCTTCTTTGTCATCATCAGATATCTCTATTACTTCACTTTTAATCTGAACATCTTCTGTTTCAGCCATTATATCTAAAGTAATTGAGATTTATGATCAAAATTTGCATTCCAGAGGCCTCTTCTTATAAGGAAAGAATAGGAAAAATTGATTTTCCGGATAAGATGCATGGGATGGGGAAATATCTTTCATGGGCATCCCCAACTTTGTCAATTAATGGTAGTCAACCGCTTGTTTGCCCCTTTCTCGTAAAATACAAAATTTTATATTATACCAAAAAAAATTATCTAATTAAAATGAAAAAAGCGAATGTTTAAATGGAACGATGTTTGTTTGGTTAAAGGTATCTCCAGGACGGCTTAACGGATTTTAATGAAATTTAGTATACGTGTAAAAAATAGTCTGGAAGAACACGTAGGCTACTATGTACTATATTATGTTTTTTGTATTCCCCGGCGACGGAGTCGCTGGCAACCGCTACTAAAGAGTAAAAACAAATGCTCACATTCTCGTTTATTTCTTTTGACAACTTATATTCCTTTATATTGGTATTATTATTTCACATCCCAATGTATTATTTTAGATTCTATTACACCATAATTATTGCTTGTGTATTTTAATTTGTTTATTTTTCTGTTTTTAACAAGCTTCTCGCTTCAGTCTCGATTGACATTTTTGACACAGCAATTTGACAGTTATTCCATTGTCTTTGGTTCATAGATTAAAAAACATGTTTTTTTTTCACAGCTTAAATTTTCGGCGCTAGTGGGCAATAATTTCGGCTTGAATTTTTTCTATTTGAATGTGCTATATAAAACTAAAAACCTCTCTTAAATTTATACTGATTGAGTATCGATGAATACTGCGCTATTAGAATAATATAATTTCACTGATTATTTGCATGGATACATCATTAAAATGGGCGATAACTCAACTATCCCACGATTCCTCCTTATTTCTTCTTAGATGCTGTTTTTACGATTATATCGAATTTTTTTGTGATATTTCATATCACAGGCACTGGTGCGATTCTTAAGTTACCAAAGATCTAAAGTAAAATAAAAGAGTTTTACGCGTATTTGAGAAAAATGGTGGAGTTAAAATTCCATGTAATAGAGTATAGAGGTTCTACATTCTTTTTTATAAGTGCCAATGTTTCTGAAATATAATGGTTCAAATACCATACACTGCAACCATACTTAAAAAAAAATATTGTATTTTCAAAAAGAATCAATTTGCACATTTTGTTTTAAAATAAGTAATCTGTGCAGATAATAAATATATATTTTATAATCTCTGTTGGTACATTAATCTTTGCGATATCTTAATTTCAAACATGAAACGTGGTCTGGTGAAGTTTTAACATTTTTATTGAAAAACTTCGCTTCGAAAATTTCCTTGAATAAATTACTAGTCGACTTCGTCCGCGTGGAATTAACAATATACGAGTATAGGCCTTTTCTCTGCGCTATTCCAAATCGCAATCTATGTTCCATTCAACCAGATCTCTTCAGCCGTTATGGAGATTTTTTATATTATAAAGCGGCTAATGAACTAACGGTCAACTTCTATCGCCGAAATAACAAAGCAACCAATTATAGATGACGCAATAATCGACGGAGGAGTTGATGCACAGAAAGATAATACTTCTGTTTATATATCCCCTCCTCCGTCAAATCCCTTTGTCATCATCTCCTCCGACACACTCATCAGACTGTACGTGGAATTGCGTCCATTTGACGCCTTTCTTCTGCGTGGTCGTGGTATTGCAGCGAACCGGACAATCCATGCGAAGATAAAGGGCTCTACCACTGTTAAAACTTTGTTATATACATCTTGCTTCTTACTAATATTATAAATGCGAATGTTTAGATGGATGTTTGTTAGAAGAAATTTGGCATACATATAGAACATAGTCTGGTAGAACACATAGGCTAGTAATTAAGTGTTTTTTCTTCCCCGCGGACGACAACTAGTTTTATTATAAAAAAGAAGACTTTTGTGTATAATTTAAAATGGTTAATATCCAAAGGGTGATCATTTAAAAACGTTTTATCAACAATTTTATCTATTAATAGTATAATAAAAATAGTCTCACGAAGTATTTAGCTCTAATCACCGGTCGTAGTATCACGTACTATTCTAGGGATGTCGCAAATCATAAACTACGCGCGTTTTTTTGACACAATCCAGTCCAATGTAATGGAGATATTCATAAACTAATCAGATTTACTTAATTTAAACAATTGAGGGGCAATTAGATGCGTATTCTTTCCGTATTTTCATAAGGTTATAGGTATTAAGGTTAACGAGCAAGCGACCACCACCAACCACCTGAGATCGTTAAAATAGCGAGCGATTACCCATAGATATACGCAATTGATGCGTTGCCTACCTTTAATCGACGGATGGATGCACAGAAAGAGAATATTTTCCCTTCCTATGAATCCCTTACCGGGAAAATCTACTTCCACTTCCCATCCTTACCATATAAGAAAAAGGATGGGAAGGAAAGGAGACTAAAAGTAAGCCTCCGGGACGCACACTCATCAGACTGTACGCGGAATAGCTTCCACTTGACGCCTGTCTTCTGTATGGTCGTGGTATTTCACCGGGCGAGGACAATTCGTGCGAAGATGTTAAAGCTCGCTCTACCACTGTTAACGTGTGTAAATTTAATCATTATTACTTACATATGTTATTTTAACTAGTATTCTTAATAGAAAGTAGCTTATAATATTCTCGAGTACATTAGCTACTATCCAGTGAAAGTCAAGTTATAAACAGTCCAGTCTCTTCTGGAACAAACACGCATTTGGGTACAGATATAAAAAACTGTATTTTTTTAAAACAAGGCAAATGCATTACGATCATGTAATATAACTGTCGCCTGGAACCCAGCGTGGAATAAAAAAAAAACATAGTAGTCTATGTGTTCTTACAGACTATGTTCTACATCTATGCCAAATTTCAACGAGAGATACCTTCTAACAAACATCCATCTAAACATTCGTATTTATATTATTAGTGAGATGGATTGTTTCGATGTTACATACAAACTGTCCAATTTAATTAATTGTGTAGAATAATGTTATGAGTTTTGAGTAATTTTATTGTCCGTTATTTCTCGAATTAAGTATATTCCAGTAACTAACTTTAACATCAACTTACGTCTGCACTATGTGGGTCCCATAATCACCACTTAAAGACAGATGTAAAAATTTGGCTAGTTAAGAAATCTATACCGAAATAATATTTTTGTTAAACTCAAAAGTATTTGCTAAACAAAAATAACCGAAACACGGCATCAATAATCTATTAACCACTTCAAAGAAGCTAAAAATGCATGAAAATAAGTAAAGGCAATTATTTATTTATGTCACGTATTCCCTCCTACAACTTAGGTAAACTTTGGTCCATATAAAAAGGCTGGAATGGCTGTAAGCTTTCATTCTGATGTTCGCACTCAGGCGGCCATCTTGCAGCTGTCAAGTTTGGCGCGTTTTACGTTCCGTTTAAACGAACAAAAATGCGTAAACTTACAGCTATTGTTTCTCTGATGCTTATAGGTGAGTTATTATTAATCAATTAATTTATTAATTTAACTCAAACGTAGTTATTAGAATTAAAAATAAAGTTTGCAATTTTTTTTATTAATATTTTCATTTTTTAGTCTTTATTTGGATCTTGTGATTTTAAGAACACGTCAGTACCTTTGTATAGTACTATTATAAATAAAAAAAAATAGTTTTTGCTGCTAAGTTTTTGCTGTTTAATAAATTAATTTGGCCTAGAATTATAACAGATTTTCTAATTTTTTTTTTAATTCTCCTCCTAAAGGTCCTCGGAGGCTTTTTTCATCCGAAATTTATGTGTATAGGTTATAACTCTATGGTATTTTCTAAAATTTATTAAGACCGCTTAATAAAAACGTAAGCATTTTTCTGTCCTGTGTTGCCATTCGCTTGTTTATTTATAAGTATTATTTTGTAGCGACGTGGTCGCAGGCCGATACAAGGCGACAAAAGAAAGAAGTTTCATCGTCAGAGGACTTCAGAACAGGTACAGTCGTGGACATTTGAAGGCACCGCGATCCTTAGTGGGGTCGTATAATGAGCTGATGATGATGGTCTGAACCGGTAAAAAAGCGCTGCTACCTCAGTAGGTTCTGGCAGAATAGGAATACTAAAACATACAACATAAAAAAATGACATTGCATTTACATTTACGGGGGTTGTTGTGATATTTGACATTGACTGGGGGGCGCTAGTGTGTTATAATTTAATTTGACTACCAATTCAGCTAGTCTTGTCAGTCTATTTAATTAAATTACGTTTGTTTCACAGGTAATTTGTTAGCAGCTGGCTTGTCGTGCGACTCCTGTGGCAGTGAATGTGCGGCTGCGTGCGGCACTCGACATTTCAGGGCCTGCTGTTTTAACTACTTGAGAAGGAAACGAGGACCTGAACATGTTAAAGTAAAAAAACATCCGAAATTAAATGTGAAATAAGATATTTTTAATTGTTACATGAAGTAGAAATAATTTATTTGTTCCAGTTACAACAGAATCTTCGAGATGTGAAAGATAGAAGTCATAAAGCGAATTTACCTATTGTCGTATTGGAAATTCCAGAAGAATGGCGGGAAACTGTATTTCCAAGCGATTTCAAACCTTATTTCTATGATGATACGTTCGATAATAGGTTGGATGCAAACTATGACGTTTAAAAATTTACAAACGCTGCAATACTGTATACACTCCGTGGGCATTTTAGGTAAAATACTGATCTCTCTTGAATAGATATTGCTTGGAAATGACTACTTTTTCTTTTTTTCTACTTAAAGGCGTCTGTTGATCACCTTACCGATAATTATGTCTCTGTTCGTATTATGTTAGAATTTTTAAAACCGGTGTTAACCGCAACCGTCAGCGCCATGGCGGAAATCAAATAGGCACTAAATATCACCATTTATATCCGGTCCACGTGTCATCGTGTAGCCGGTGAGGCAAAAGCAATTGTGACGTTCGGACAGTATTTTTATTTTGTAATACGATTTGTCTGGCCCGATGATAGACTTTTCGCTGTTATTTATTTCAGAAAATACATAAAAATAATATATTCATAGAAATAGACACACAAGATAATTTCCAGACAATCTTATAGCTGCGCTAGTGAGCTATTTAATTTAGTTTTTGCTCATCGGGTTAGACAAAGAATTTTGTATCTGTTAGGCTGGACGGATATAAAGTTCTTTCATTTAAGTATTTAATTTTGAGAAAAAAAATGTTTACGAAAATGTTAATAAAATATTGACAGATTATATTTTGTTTTATTAATAAAAAAGCAATTTCTTGTCTTCAAAGATACATTCTTATTAGCAATTTCACTGATTCACCGTTGGTTTTGAAACCACAATTTCTTTATGAAACGTATTGTCATCCCTTTCATTATCTTTGACAAAACAGAGATAGCAATATGTTTTAAATTCCTAACAGCTAAACGTAGTTCCTTTTTCAATTAAAGATTTGTATATATAGTTGTCTCTATTTTTACAATGAGAATGAAAGAGATAAATATATTTTCGTAAATGAAAAGACTTTAGTGCTTAAACTTGTTAACAAAAATACAGTGATGTCATAGCAATGTCGCCGACAATTTGTGAAATCAATTTAACAATCTGACTTTTATTTTATATTGACATCAAATTGTGATGTACTATAATTGACATTTCAAACTTGGGTAATCAAACGCTTATAATTAAGTAAAAAATTAACATTTTACTAATGCGAATGTTTGGATGGATGGATGGAAGTTTGTTTGAAGGCATCTCCAGAACGGCTTAACGGATCTTGATGAAATTTGGCATACATTTAGAGCATAGTCTGGAAGAACACATAGGATTCTGACAAAGTCTAATTTTTGGAGGTGGTGGTTTGGTTTGTAACCAAAAATTCAGATGTGTCCGGTCGTAAGTATCTGTAAATAGAACTGTAGCAAATTTATAAATTAACCAAATTTACAATCGATCTGTGACATAACAGAGTCCGCATTACGTTAATTATCCTTGGCAGTTGGCAGTCGCAAGGTGGCAGTATTTGCAGATGCACGTCACCTTTTGAAACAGATAAAATATACCAACAAGTTAGGTTAATAACCTGTAATCGATTTACAAAACCTGTTATTTTTATATTAATATCTGATTTCTGATGTGATTCTCGTTTTATAACATTTTATTTTTATTGTGCGAGATAATGACGCGGGAAATTCCGGTGGTTTTTTTGTTTTTATATTTATTCGCGCCAACAAATGGACAATTTGAAGGTAAATGTTTTCATTAAATAATTAATACAAAAAAAGCTTGTAAAAACATAAAATCCCGCTTATATTATTTGCAAGAATAGAGACAATGTTTTAATAAACATTTCGTCAGGTTTATATCTCGATTTTTTATTACAATTAAGATAAGTAATAAAAATTTGAATAAACTGTTCATTTGTTTGAGAATGCAATGTTTATTTTAACTAGCTTTGGAAGGTGTCCTTTTCTGCCTAACGCCCTGGGCGGTCACACAACGGCTAGGGCGTTACGTTAGGCACTAACGTCAGTCCTGTCTGTTCAAAACTATATCTTAGTCAAAATAATACATGTCTTAATTCTTTATTGAGGAAAATATCAAGGTAACATAATATTCTTATATTTTCCTCTATTTGTCTCAGACATATGTTTTATGTGGTTTTTATATATATTTAATTAGAATAATCAAATCGCAATAAAATGAGACATTTCCTGTGAGTTCTTGAGAGCAAAATTTATGTATAAAATATATCGTCATCCCTGTCATTATCTTTGATAAAACAGAGATAATATTGTTTAAACGGTTAAGTGTTTTTAACAGTGGTAGAGCCCGCTTTAACATCTTCGCACTAATTGTCCCCGCTCGCTCAGTGAAATACCACGACCATACAGAAGACAGGCGTCAAGTGGAAGCAATTCCAACTACATTCTGATGAGTGTGCGTCCCGGAGGCCTAATTGAGTCCTCTTTCCCTTCCCACCCTCTTTTTTATAAGGAAAGGATGGAAAGTGGAAGTGAACTTTCCTGATGAGAGGATGCATGGAAAGGGAAAATATTTTCTTTCCGTGCATCCTCTCCTCCGTCGATTAAAGGTAGGCAACGCATATGCAATTACGTATGTCTATGGGCAACGGTCACTTCGCTATTTCAGCGATTTCAGGTGGCCGCTCGCTCGTTTGACCGTTTGACACCTTATGACATAAAAAAAAAGTTTTTGAGAGCAAAATCTATGTATAAAATATATCGTTGTCCCTGTCATTGTCTTTGATAAAACAGAGATATGTTTTCAACGGTTAAGTATCGGAAAACCACATATAATGATATGTTAAACTGGCTTTAATAAACTATACGGGCTTTCTTAGTTCGGTAAACGGATACCCATGAACGTAATGTCACTATGTTGACTGCGTTGATATCAGCAACGATAATAAAACGAAATTTTACTATGCACGAAATAAATTCAATCTCGTCACTCTTTTATATTTGACAAATTCTGTTCGCGCCCTGTCAGTGTCGCGAGAAAACGCGCGAGCCAATACCAGTGCGAGATTTAGCACCCAGGCTTTTGCGCCACAAACTACAAAACCAGATCTAATAGATAACTTTTAAAATGTCTTAATTTTTACAATTAATATAAATGCGAAAGTTTGTATGTATGTTTGTTAGTAGATATATCCAGAACGGCTGTATAGATAAAACTGAAACTTGATATAGACGTCGAATATAGTCTAGGAGATCACATAGGCTAATTAATTTTTTTTTATTTCGCTCGAAAAAATCTCGGGTAAAAGTTAGCTTTTATAAGATGTCAAACGATTAATCGGTTGCGTAATATCGTGAAATTACTGCCCATAAACCATGATACTTAATAAGTTAGAAGGGACGGAAAGTGAATATTTATATTATTGTTCCTTTACCTTACAAAACCACATTACCCTTTCATCATCAACCCTTATCCCTATCGAGGTTCGGCACAGCATGTACTACTCCTCCATACATCTCTATCAGCCGTCATATCCGAGTCTACCCCCTTCTTACGCATATCCTCTTTCACACAGTCACTCCATACTTTTTTTGGTGTTCCTCTACCTTTGTAGCCATCCACATTCAATCTCATTACTTTTTTGCTTTTATATCATCCTTCGCATAACATGTCCAAACCACGCTAATCTTTTACTCCTCAATTTCTCGATATCGATCGATTACCCTTTCTATCAAGAATAGGAAAGAGGATTAGAATTTGACCTCTGCCATAAAGTGAGAGACAAGACTATGTTTCAATTGCGTCTTTTCTGTGTGCGTTGCGAACTCTATCACTTATATATTCTTCTTCCAGGTGATATCTGCATGAAGAATGGAGCTAGAGGTACTTGCATGGTGTTGGATAAATGTCAATCTGCAGTCAATGATATAAGACATAGAATATCACCTCAGGTTCGTATAATCATCAGCTCATACATCCCCACTGAGGGTCTCGTTGCCCTAAGTGTAACTAGGTGATAGTGAATGCTGGTCCAGTGCGTCAATTCACACATATCTTTGACATTCACAGATATGTGCAGCATCACGATGTTTTCCTTCACACTAACAACATAGGATAAATGTACATATGTAAATAAATTGAACGTATGCCCCGTATATATTTCTGGAACCATAAGTTACCTATGTGTTCTTCTAGACTATGTTCTATAGCAGTGGTTCCCAAACTTATTTTGTCTACTGCCCCATTTTGAGAATAAATATTTTTTTACCGCCCCCATATTTTCACATATTTAAAAACCATTATAACTTCAAATTAAATTAATTAATTATTGTGACCTATATATGTATATTAACGGAGAATTCTAAAGGAAACTTTTACTATAACCCGCAACTTGAGACCTGCAGCGCCCACAAGGGGACGTTATCGCACACTTTGGGAAAGACTGTTCTAAATCTATACTAAATTTCATCAAGATTCATGCAGCCGTTCCAGAGATACCTTCTAACAAACATCTAAACTTTCACATTTATAATATTATTATTTTTTTTCTATTTTTCACAGATATGTTCTTTTAAAGGCATGGATCCTATAGTCTGTTGTTCCGATGTAGCGCCGGCGTCGACCGCCGCTCCGCCCGTACTAACAACATCTACTAAAAAGTACGACTCACTTGTTCTCAATTAATTTAAAAACTTAACTTGACTGTTGGAGTACGACTAACTTATCTGACCCGGTGGAAATAAACTCACAATAGCTTATTATTTTTTTATATCATAAGGTAGCAAACGAGCGAGCGGTCACGTGAAATCGCTGAAATAACGAAGTGACCGTTGCCCATAGACATACGCAATTGCATATGCGTTGCCTACCTTTAATCCACGGAGGAGAGAATGCACAGAAATAAAACATTTCCATGTATCTTTATAAGAGAAAGGGTGGGAAGGGTAAGGACTAAATTAGTCCTCCGGGACGCACACTCATCAGACTGTACGCGGAATAGCTTCCACTTGAAGCGTATCTTCTGTATGGTCGTGGTATTTCACCGGACGAGCCGGGACAATTAGTGCGAAGATGTTAAAGCGGGCTCTACCACTGTTAGTCGATTAATTAATCAATAATTTAATTAGTTAATAATTTCCAGGCCTAAAGTAACCACAGAATACGTACCCCCATCTTATGACTATGTCTTCAATGATCCGTCTCTAGGAGGAGATGGGGAATGTGAGGCTATATCTGCTAATCTCACATCGCCCAGGACTGGACAAAAGGCGTGGGACAGTAAGTATTGAAGATGAAGTTACCAGCTCACTAAATCCCCACCGAGGGTCTCGTTTACCCTAAGTGTAACTATGTGATAGTGAATGCTGGTCCAGTGCATCACTTCACACATATATTTGACATTCACAGATATGTGCAGCATCAATAAGTTTTCCTTCACACTAACAAAATAGGATAAATGTACATATGTAATTTGTTGACAAGTCAAGTGCTTAACCCCAAAGCACCTATGCTCCCTAACAAAATTACTTGACTTGTCTACAGGTCCTAGGTTCGAATCCCGGTGTGTACCAATGTGTTTGCATTTAGATATGTACAGTATGATTCTTATTAGAATTTTTCTCACCTTTTCAACCTTCCATAGATTTCAAGACCAAGATAAAATAAATCCGTTTAGCCGTTCTGGAGTTTTAGCGATACTGACGAACAGCAATTGATTTTTATAAATATAGATTTTATTCGACGTGGACGGAGTCGCGGGAGAAAGTTACATAACAATATTTCTTTACAGAATGTCTTGAATATCAAGAGAAATTAGTATATCCTTGTGTAAAAAGTAACTCATTATCTGGTGAGAAGGCACGCACATATCGCTGCAACCATAGAACTGACCAACTTGTTGTTGGTGGAGTGAACGCTGCTGACAAAGAATTCCCCCATATGGTAAGTTGGTAAACGAGCAAGCCACCTGAATTCTCCAAAATAGCAAAACAATCATCCATTGACATACGCAATTGCAGATGAAATAGCAAAGCGACTGATAGCCATCGTATAGACATCATCGAGGCACAGAATAATTATGTATCCTCTTGCTTTCCCTTCTCCATCAAATAACTTCAACATTCCTTATAAGTGTTGGGAAGGGCTAAACACACTAACAGTGGTAGAGCCCGCTTTAACACCTTCGCACGAATTGTCCCGGCTCGCCCGGTGAAATACCACGACCACACAGAAGACAGGCCTCAAGTGGAAGCAATTCCGCGTTTCGTCTGATGAGTGTGCGTCCCGGAGGCCTAATTTAGTCCTCTTTCCCTTCCCACCCTTTTTCTTAGAAGGAAAGGATGGGAAGTGGAAGTGGACTTTCCGGATGAGAGGATGCATGGGAAGGGAAAATATTTTCTTTCTGTGCATCCTCTCCTTCGTCGATTAAAGGTAGGCAACGCATATGCAATTGCGTATGTCCATGGGCAACGGTCACTTCGCTATTTCAGCGATTTCGGGTGGCCGATTGCTCGTTTGCCACCTTTTGATATAAAAAAAAAACTACATGGCGGGATTCGAACCCAGGACTTGCAGACATGTCAAGTGTTTAACTCCTGAGCCACCGACGCTCTTGTAATATTACATTTTATTTTATAATGACACGAACATACAAAAACAATTTAATAAATACAAAAAAATATTCAGATTAGATAAAACCCTAATATAACATTAATCAAAGCGACCCTTTTTTTTGTATCGGGTGAGAAATCTTCGTAAGTTACCCTTTTGGGGGAAAGACAGGGTTATGTGAGATTCTTACTCAAACCCCCTCGGTGGTCAACCTCAAGTGCGACTGCGAGGGTCCCGTGATCTCTAAAGGAACGCACCGGAACCCTTTGCAATGGCTTCTGCACGACTCTAATCTAGGCGACCTAGGGATTTTAAAGGGACCTAGGGACAAAAAAAGCATTTTATAACGCTCAGACACTTCCTATGTCACTCTTGGGATGAATACGAATCGAATGACACCTCACTCGTCAAAATCGGTTCAGTAGTTTATTCTACAGGATGTTCCAATAAACATACTAACACGAAAATAGTTTGGTAGTTTTATAGTTTTATATTTTTTAGGCATTACTAGGGTTCGGGAACGTGAATTCAATTCAGTGGCAATGTGGAGGTTCTGTTATTAGTGAAAGATTCATCTTGACAGCGGGACACTGTACTTCAAGCAGAGAGTTGTAAGTATATATCTTACTAAACTTACTAGCTGTCGCCCGCGACTGCGTACACGCGGTTTAAAAAAATAGTAGTCTATGTGTGCTATCAGACTATGTTCTACATCACCTTTCAGCGAGATACATGCAGCCGTTCTGGAGATATCTTTTAACATACATCCATCCAACTAAACAATTTATAATATTAGTAAAATAAGATACTTTATGGAATGGTTGTTTATACGAAGATATCTTCAGAACTGTTGTATGGATCTCGCTGAAAGATGTAGAACATAGTCTGGAAGAACACATAGACTACTAATTAACTGTATTTAAATCCGCGTGGACATACACGGGTTACATCTAGTCTTTTTTAAGTACACAGTCTTTTAAGCTAAAAACTTATTACATAGTTTTGTTATTTTTTAATACTTCTGTTGTTTAGTGGTCCAGTGACATACGCCTTAGTGGGCATTCTGAGTAGGACTGAACATGTGGACGCATCCCAACGTTACAAGATAAAAAATATTATAAAACATCCAGAATATAAAGCACCGAAGAGATATAATGACATCGCGTTACTTGAAACTGAAACTGAGTAAGTATTAATAATAAGACATTTAAATCCATTCGAAAACATTACAACACGATTAAAAAAAAAACAAATAAAATAAAAAAAAAACAAAATTAAACTAACATCATACAAAAAAAATAAAAGTGTTTAACATCCCCCTGTATTTTTTTAATATCATAAGATGGCAAACGAGCGAGCGGTCACCTGAAATCGCTGAAATAGCGAAGTGACCGTTGCCCATAGACATACGCAATTACATATGCGTTGCCTACCTTTAATCCACGGAAGAGAGGATGCACAAAAAGAAAATATTTTCTCTTTCCATGCATCTCATCCGGAAAGTTCACTTCCACTTCCCATCGTTTCCTTATAAAAAAAAGGGTGGGAAGTGAAAGAGAACTAAATTAGTCCTCCGGGATGCATTCATCAGACTGTAGTTGGAATTGCTTCCACTTGAAGCTTGTCTTCTGTATTCCTGGTGCATCGGGTGAAGGAAATTCGTGTGAATTGTAAACCGGGTTCTAGAATGATTAAAATTTGTTTTTTTTAGAATGACATTAAGTGATAAGGTAGTACCAGCTTGTCTCCACGTAGACACGACCGCACAGGACGAGAAAGCGCTCGCGTCTGGTTGGGGCGCGACACAGAACAGAGGTTCAAGCGCAGATGTACTACAAAAGGTAGGACAGACGGACTACAAATTTACTATTAATATGTTCTGGCTACACTTTACGTGGAAACACGAAGTAATATAATTTATAGTGTGTCTATTTAAGATAGATGAGTTTGACAAGTGACGCCTATAGATTCGAATCAATTTTGTATGAGGATTAATGTTGTACTTAATGGACGGTTGTCATAGTGTCGAAGTGGGCGACGGGCTACTATAGTTAGGTATTTTATAAGCTGGGCTGCGGACGAGAGCGAAAGCGTGCCCGTGATCCCGTGCCGATGCGTTGGAGGAACAGAGGGGTTTAGTGGGTATGCCTCCGTTATGGAGGAGAATCCCACATAACTCGCGTCCCCCCCGGGGTGCGGAGTATGCATAAAGCATTCCCCTCTGAAAAAAAAAAAGGTATTTTATAAGCTGTTGAATTTATTACAGTTATTTGGCTATGTATCACACATCTAATTAAAAAAAAACTGTTTTGTTCGTCAACACCGCAATTTTTGGTTGAATATCTTATTTCTTTATGTAGTTATGAAGGATAAAGGATAGGAATAGAAAGAAACAAATTTATTTATATTGTAATTCAAAAACAATCATCGCGAATTTTCGATTGCAAGTTTTATTAGAACAAGCATCGAAAATCGATTAAATTTATTACCGGTTTTAATCAACACATATCTAGTGAATTGTTAAACAGATTAATCTTAAATAGACACACTATAACATATGTTTTTATAAATAAAGTCAATAGAGCAACCGTATCCATTGAAGAATTTTTGAATACACCGGAAATGAAGGTGGCAACAATATCTGCGGGAATAGATTTCTTTCCCTTCATCTTCATTCCAATGTTTAAAATTGCTTCGCACTTCGCTGGCAACACTTAAAATTATTGTGTTGCCAGTATGATGAATATTCGTGCATTTGTGAAATCTTAGTTTTAAGTATAGTGAATTGTTTTTGTTCATTTCTCATATACAGTATGATTCTTAATATGAAGTAATAATTATTATATTTTGATCCATTCATCAAGAATCATCCTGTATATAAATAGATGTAATACGACGCTATAAATCATCATTAGTTACAACGATATACAATAATATTATTCTTCAATATTCAAGCTAACATTTCATATTCGCTAAATTAAAAAAATATGGATACTAAATTAAATTCCTTAGCTATGTTAACTTTTTCAGGTGATTTTGAACAAATTCTCGGAACTAGAATGTGCTATGTTATTCCCACCGACACGTCTTATGTCTAACGGCTTCAATGGAAACACGCAAATATGTTACGGGGATAAAGAGAAATCTAAAGATACATGTCAGGTAATGTACATTTCAGATATCATGACGGCTCTTAAGTTCGCGAGATTTGCTCTGCAGTACCTTGAGCTTCTAACACATTTGAATATAACTATATAAATAGGTAAACGAGCTTTCATAATCGCGCACAGAAAGAGAAATATTTCCCCTTTTTATGCGTCTTCTCACCCGGAAAATACACTTCCATTCCATTCATACTTTCTCAGAGTGGGATTTACAGACTTGACCAGGCTTGAAGTGATCGGGACCAGATGACTTAACCCTCATTCATTAGTTATACCAAAATCTCTGTATCATATCAATATGTTTTAACCTTTCGTATGTTAACTGTCAAAATGTTAACTGTCAAAGTGTTAACTGTCAAAGTGTTAACTGTCAAAATGTTAACTGTCAAAATGTCAAAATCAGCCCATCTGTGAGTCCCAATACAGGACGCTCTCACAGACAGGAGTCTCCCTGTCTGTGGAGAGTCCTAGAATAGGACTATTAAATATTATAATACTTACGGTTCCGATTTTCCTAAGTGCAAAATACGCGCAAAATTAAACACTGAAACAGGACGCCCCACAGACAAGAAAAAAAATAGATTTTGGTCTCAGAAACCCACTGTTAATTCCAGGGAGATAGCGGCGGTCCATTACAATTGAAGAATACAAAGATACATTGTATGTATACAGTTATTGGGGTGACATCTTTTGGGAGAGCTTGTGGTTTTGTTGGTGAACCTGGGATTTATACAAAAGTGTCCGCATACGTACCCTGGATTGAAAGTATTATATGGCCTTAATATTCTAGATTAAATTTACGTTTAGTCTGTCTATTTAAGATAGATTAGTTTGATAATTTACTAGAGATGGATTGAGGAAAATCGATTTATAAAAAAAACGGATTTTGATGGTTCTCATCGTAGAGTTAGTTCCAAAAAGTCTCATTGGAGTTGTATCGAGTTATGACGTAAAACACTGGTTATATATCTTAATGCGAGTCAATTTTAATCAAAGTCAATCGGCAGGTCGATATATAAGAAATAAAAATCTGGATGACCGAGCTTTGCTCGGTGTTTTTTTAATTGTGTTTTTTGTAAATTATATTTAAGTACGAATCACTAATAAAATGATGAAATATGAATAATATTTTTCCATCTTACCGATAGAAAAAGTTAAGTTTATGTTTAAGTTGATTATCAATAAAACACGAATAAAATGACATTTTCTAAAAATGATTCCTAGCTAGATCGATTTATCGCCCCCGAAACCCACTATATACTAAATTTTATCAATATCATTGGAGCCGATTTCGAGATTCCAATTATATATATATATATATATATATACAAGAATTGCTCTTCTACTTTCTTCTATGAGAACACTCGAAAATCGAAAAAATTCTTAATCGATTTTACTCAACCCATATCTAGTGAATTGTCAAACTAATATATCTTAAATAGACACACTAAAGATCTGATATTTGTTTTAAAATAAATATATTCTTGCAGTTTTAAAATCGTTTTATTAAAACCGTACATATTGTGTTTTATAAATATAAGTCAAATAACATTTTTTTTGTTATAAAAATGGTAAAGTTATTTGCTTAAATTATAAAATATGTATTTTAATACTATTTTTTTTAATAAATATTAAGTCAATTTTTTTTATCAATTTCCCTAACACCTATAGATATAAGGACGTCGACAGCTGATGATTTAAGCTAGATAGTGACCAGATCTAGCTTAGAATGTACGCATCGGTCAATTCGAGATTTATTCCACGATGTAGTGTATGCATAAACGAAGTGTTGTTTGTGTCGAGCGTACGTCATAAGTACATGCCGGAGAGTGGGGGTCAGTCGATGTCAGACCTTTGGACCGGTAGCACGTGTCGGTACGTAAACGAGCCAACTATAACGCAACGAATGCTACACACAGGTAACACATATTAACATGTATAAACACGGCTAAACACTCACGTATATTCGTCCGGTGGCGGCACCGACTAGTTTCGAACCCATCGGGGGCCCTACATGGAAACCCATCTTAATGAACGCAGCGCGATAACACATCGGCAGTGCTGACGACGATATCGTGGACATAGTACGTTTTGTGCCTCCGGAAACTTGAACAACAACACCACCGATTGGTATCAACATCGTCGACGACGCCGTCGCATCCCGCGCCCTCCGACCCCTCAAGACGCGCCCTATGCGCAGGCGCGCAGTGAGCTGAGGGCCTTGTCCGTGAAATATTACCAGTACCACTCATCCTGATGAAGGGCCCCCGATGTGCTTGAAACTAGTCAGTGCCGGACGAATATACTTGAGTGTTTAGCCGTGTTTATATATCAGTTTAGTATAATTTCTCACGAAAGTTTGAATAATTTAATATTAACATGTGCAAATAAGTAAAATACAGAAAAGAGGTAACTACGTAGATCTATTTAGTATTTTGGCGCGTTTTTATTCTACAATTTTTCCATTCCGTCCCTCTTTATACTTGTTGGATTGATGGCTTAGAAATCAATGTTTTCGATTCAGATTTCGCGCAGTTGATATTCCTATCAGCTAATCTTACTAACATAAATGCGAATGTTCAGATGGATGTATGTTTGAACGTATATCCAGAACGGCTGCATGGATCTTGATGAAATTTGACATAAGGTATTAATTAAGTTTTTTTTATTTTCCGCGTAGACGGATTCGCAGGCGACAGCTAGTCTAACTCTATTAATTAGTCGCTTATTACAATCAACGTAAAAATGTCGATAATTAAATAGGCACATAAAACTACGACTTATAACCTGTCCAGTAGACTGAGATTAGTGAGATCGTTTTGATTTCCTAATGACAAATGGAATCAATAGATCCTTGGAATTAAAAAAAATCGTAAATTTGTGACATAAACGGTTGTATCTTTTGATTGCGTTGGTTTAGAAGTTTTATTTTTTCACAGCACCTAGCGACCGCAGACCTGAACATTTGATATAAATTCCAGCTTGATACATTCACGCGATTTTGAGAAAAAGTGTCATGCTATAAGGGTTCCGTTTTTTTCCTTTCGGGGTACGGAACTCTAATTATATAATCATCATCAGCTCACTATACGTCCCCACCGATAGGCTCGGAGCCTAACCTAAGTTATGTGACTAGGCCATAGTCAACCACGCTAGCCAAGTGCGGGTTGACTTCACACATATCTTTGAATTTCTTCTCAGAGATGTGTTTTCGTTCACCGTAAGAACATAGTATAAATGTACATATGTAAATCGGAAATAGAAAAGCACATTGGTATGGCGGGATTTGAAACCAGGATCTGCAGATAGCAAGTCAAGTGGGCCCCTTGAGCCACCGACGCTCTAATTACGTAACGTAAACAATTTTAAGGAATTTACGCAAAGTAATAAACATGAAATTTAAAATAAATAAAAACCTACTTACAAATATTTTTAAAAAGATTATTCTATCGTGCTCTCCGGGTGCAATGCCGTGAACCCAGATAAAAAAAAATCTTTGTTTATGTCTCATTTCGACGAATAACGTTCACTAACGTATAAACAGGCAAATAATAATAAAAAACCATACTATAATTATAACCTTAAAATAGCTTTTAAATAAATATTTCTTGTGGCAATTTTCCTCATATGAATAGCGTAATGATTTAGAATCTTAAAGCTAAGAAATAAAGTCTATTTTACAATACATCAATAGATCTTACTAATATTATAAATACGAATGTTTAGATGGATGTTTGTTAGAATGTATCACCGGAACGGCTCAATGGATCTTAATGAAATTTGTCGTAGATTTTTTATAAGAGAAGGGGGCAAACGAGCGGCGGGATCACCGAGGTGATCTACGACACACATGGACATCTGCAACACTAGAGGAACTGCAGATTCGTTGATGGCCTTTAAGGAAATGGTATGGTTGCTTATTAAAGGTCTCTAAGTCGTATTTGTTTGGAAATAGACGTAAAACATAGTCTGGAAGAACACGTATACTACTAATTAAGTTTTAATACAACGTAGACAGAGTCGCAAGCGATAGCTAGTATAATACAGCGGACAGAGATGATTTCTGACGTATTCAAAACTTGTAGATAACCAATATTTTAAAAATTAACCTTAAAGACAAAGTATTTAGCATAACAAATCTTTTGAGAAACTGTAACCGTTTTAATAACTGTTATAACAGTTAATAAACTATCTGTTTTAAAAGCTTATCAATATCATTAAATTGGCGTTTATCTAACTATAGTTGTTTCGATGCGGCTTCGCATATAATTTTACTATTTTTTCTTGCAACGAAAAAAAATCTTTTATTGTTTACATTGCGTCAAATTTTCAATTGCAAATTGTCAAAATTCAAATGCTCAAATGACAACGTCTTCGCTATTGGCTGAGAATGTCCGTTACCATGACAACCATTCTTTGCTACCATCGGCTTGCAATTTTTGTACTTTTCTTGCATATTTTTTCAATTTACACAACCTGTAAGTTAACAGCTTGAAAATATATAGCCTAAAGCTTGTTAAAAGTATATGGCTAGTTATTATAAAAATAATAAATAAAAAATATGCTGTGATTACTAAGATTTTTAGTTTTATATAGAACATAGTCTGGAAGAACACGTAGCCTACTAATTATATATTTTTTTTCTAACTCCGCACGGACAGAGTCGCGAGCGATAGCTAGTATATCATAGACGTAGAACATAGTCTGGAAGAACACATAGACTACTAATTAAGTTTTTTCCTCATATAGAGTTATGCATTCTATAGCTTTATAATAACCGTTTTATGAGCAGTTTAATAAAACTGCTATTTTTTATTAACATGTTATTTAGTTGTGTTTACCCGTTTGGACAGGAAAGACGTATAGACCGGTTTTGATTATAAGTTCAGGGTCAATTCGGTTGATACTTTAAGATTAATTATGTGAGTATATTATTATATTAATAAGTGAGGTTATAATTTCGTACACATAATGTTATTACGCGTATTGTTGAACATCAAATAAACTGTGTCTGTATAACGTTATTTTGAAATTATATTAGTGCATTTACCGTGGGTTTCGAAGACTAAAATACCAGTTTAAAATGTTATATATGTTTTGTTAAAGACGACAGGAATTACAATGTTTTATATATAGATTTTAGTGTCAGTAAATAATTCGTTATTTTTATGGTTACTAACGAAGCGAATTTTTATGCAACTTTTAGTTAAATAGGATAGTAAAAAATCAAGCCATATCGCAGTTCAAACTTTTGAAGGCCTTAAAAATACGAGTAAAAGATATTGAATTTAGGTTATTTTCAATTAAATTTAATTATAATTATAATATTAGGTTGTTTTAATAAATAAAAATGTATTTAATTACGCAATTCGCAATTTTTTAAATCTAAAACTGTTTTTTTAACTGACGTAACACACAAAAAGCTATAGTTACTAATTTATAATACTAGATGGCGTTGTCTTAACTCAAAGTATGTGAAAATTATTTTCGGTATTTATGGTCGTCTATTGGGGTATCTTAATTTACTTCTTACTATTATAAATGCGAATGTATAAACGGATGGATGTTTTCTGGAAGTTATCTCCAGAATGGCTAAACCGAATCCGCTAAAATTTGGCATAAATGTAGAACATAGTCTGGAAGAACTCATAGGCTGATAAAGTTTTTTTTTTAGTTCCAGTTCTTCCAGACTATGTTCTATATGTATGCCAAATTTAATCGAGATCCGTTCAGCCGTTCTAGAGATATCTTCAAACACCCATCCATCCATCCACATAACATCCATTTTAAAAATATAAATGCGATATAATATTAGTAAGTTAAATAAAAAGCAGCTCTTCAAGGCATAGATTCTTGGCTGGCTCTAAGCTACCTCCTCAACAATTTTCAGGCATATCGGTAAAGCCGTTCTTTATTTATAAATAGTGTAACTAACACCACTTTCTTTTATATATAGATTGACGTTTGCATGTACTAACGTTTTTTTTTATTTCCACGCTTACAAAGTTGCCAGCAACAACTAGTTAAATATTTAAAAAGGTAGCTATTATTTCTTTTCAGGTTGTGGTTAATATTGATACTGGCAGTTTTTGTAAACGCCGACGACACAGAAATAAGACAGGCTGAACAGAAATTAGAGACATTATTTTCCGAAGAAGGTATGATACCACTGACTTTTGGATAGGCTATAACACGTTATATTTTGTGCCGATTTGAATATTGTCATATCGCTAAAGTCGTAATTTTCAAGCAATAACTTGTCTATATATATTGGGAGGTTAGACAAAATGCATTCGCTTCAAAGCGATTCCATAACGAACTTCATAAATGTATAAAACTGACAATTTCCTAAGTCACGTGATTGTCGCGTCTCAGTTTCATACTTAAAATTCTTTATTAAATCGCTTTGTAGCAAATGCACTTTGTCTAACCCCAAATTGATGTTACATGATAGTTAATTCTATCTATATTATTAATTCAAATCCTGACCAACGCTACAACAGCGACAAAATGTCGGAAATGAAATTGACACAAAATATTACATCTTATAGCCTGTCTATTTATAGAGATCAATAATCTACGTTAAGACGAAAATGTTTCTTATATTTGGTTTCTAAAACCAAAATAAATGAAATCTTTATTCAACCAAGAAGAATAACATTAACCTAATTATAAATTAAAATATAATCTTACTAAATAACTAACCACTACAAAATACATGAATTAATTAATACTATATTAAATAAACTATATACTAAAACTAAACCAAACTAACAATAAAACTTAATAATATAAAAAATCGATCCCAAATCGCTGCGGTCGCACGGTAATGTTCCCAAGAGGCTGGCGGCATTTCCCCGTTGGATGACTAGGCTCAACCTTTGCCTAAAATGCGCGCCAGCCCTTGGATTCCCTAAGGCGTCGATGTGGCGTGCGGAAACCAAAATCCCCGTATAAAATTTTATCTCTAAGTCAAAGATAACAGGGATATGTTTTATACAGAGATTTTGCGTTCAGAAACCCACGGCTATGTTTTAAACATACTTTTTAGTTCCAAAAGGTGCAGAAAATACGAATTGCGGCGGAATTGAGGGAGAACTTGATGATTCTTGTTACGAATGTTATATGTGCGAAGATAAAAAGCTTAAATTATACAAAACTGTTGCTAAACAATTAACGTAAGTATTCTGTTATACTAGCTGTCGCCCGCGACTATGTTTGTACTGGATTAAAAGATATGCATGTAAAATTACTTAAAAATTGGTCAAGCGGTTTCGGAGTATGGTAACTAACATTGTGACACGAATTTTAAGACTAGCTGTTGCCTGCAACTCTATCTACACGGAATTTAAAAAAAACTTAATATGTAGTCTATGTGTTCTTCCAGACTATGTTCTAAATCTATGACAAATTTCATCGAGATCTATGCAGCTGTTTTGGACATATCTTCTAACAAACATACAT